TACAGGCTCCCAAGTGCTGGGATTACAGGCGCGTGCCACCACGCCCAGGGGCGGGGCCGGCATGGCAGGCTCAGGGATTGAAACCCCAGCCCTATAATCCACTGAGTTATTTGGCCTGCCTTGCCTAAAGTCTTTATAATCATGGTTCTATTCTACAATTAAGCAGAGCACACAAAGAGGAAGACGGATATTTAGGCACACTTACTGAGCCCGAAGTGAGCTTTCTTTTATCGGGCTGTGCTCACTGGCGCATGTGGATAGCACAAGTTGGAGTCCTGAGAAAGTCATTATGTGTCTGGGGTAGGAATAGTGTTGTGGATGCTATTTATTGCATTACACAGTCTTTCTGAGAACCAAAACCTAATCTCTCTCGGGTATTCTGCAAGCAATTGATCTCTTAAATAATGCATACATTTCGATCTTGAGAACACTGTGGATTGTATGGCCTTTCAATGTTTGCCTAAGTACCAGAAAGCTGAGATGAATTTTGCATTTCTTTTCCAACTCAGAGAAAGTATTCAACAACTTTTATTTCTACTATGTAGTAGGAGTTGAATTCCAGTAACATGTACATTTTTGCATGGGTATGACTCCTGAATTCATGATTGCCCATACTCATTTTTATTGCTGATTTCTGCTCTGATTTACCATGTCTTGTATCATCATTTCACTTCTTGATTAATAAGCAAATGACAATCGAGTGTCCATGATGTATTGTCCATTGGACGCCAAGCATTCCCTGGGCTCTGTGGTGGGTGCCCGTGGCTTGGGTTCTCAGGCAGCTGTGCCTAGAAGGGAAGGAGTTCATCCAAGTTGCTATTTACAGCATAGTGGGATCAGCGTGACAATACAGAGACCCACAGAGTAGTATCTGTCCCTGTTGGGAAAGTGATCCTCCCGCACAAATTTGAAGGCAAAAAAAGTCAAAGAACATTTCTATAGAGACAAAGTCCACACAGGTGGAAAGGGGCCAGATTGTTATGACATCAGGCCTTCTCACGTTGATCCAGAGACACGCTGCAATTAACGCAGAAATTATCTTGTGCTCATTGGCCAGCTCATTCTAAAGTTTACATGCAATAGGAAAAGAGGCAGAAAGGTAAACCTAGTACTGAAGAGAAAGAATACAGTTGGGGGCTGACTGTACCCACATATCTCTCATTATAAAGTTGCACTGTTATTTCCATTGCTTCCCTGGACTCAAGTCGATTTTTCAGGTCTGTATGCTAACTGGCAGCCATGAAAGACTATGGCAAACCATCCGAAGGGCTCCAGCATTCTCTAGTCTGTGTGGTTCTCTATCTTACAGTGCTCTGACCTGAGGTCTCTAACTGTCTTGGCTCTTCCTCCCGTCCAGTTCTACTTCACCAACTCAAGGATCCTCGTAGGTGTGTCTGTGCTCAAAGGCCTTCTAACTCAAAGCAATAAGCTGCTGTAGTCACACAACTCACTGGCCTTCTATCACACAAGGATCGCTGTGTCTCTATCCTTAAAATCACTACTGTGTGTATTTTGTCTGGTGTCTTCAATTTCCACTCTCAGAACTCAGTGCCCCTTACTTTCCGTTAGCTAGAAGTAGGAGTCAGTAGACTACTGGAGAGAATCATGAGGGCAGTATTCAAACTCATCCCCGAGCAATACAGTTCGTTATGCTCACCCTTCCAAAAACCCAGATGAAGGGGCTAAAGAGCAAGGGGCAGTGGTTGGCAAGGCTTCGCACGTCTGTGGATCTGTCTGTTGGTCCTGTCATGCAGTAGAGAATTTGTGACCAGAGGCCTGATATAGGATAGAAGGAATGGAAAGTAGCAGAAGTGAAATGACAGTGAGCAGCCAAGGACAAGCTGGACAGTGGCAGAAAGGTGGCCGAAGCATTTTCAAGGGACACAGATCAAGGAAAGTGCTTCTTCTGACTGTCCAAATCTTTGATGATATAATAAGGAAAGAAAATTAACAGCGAATTATGGCTAAAGCCCAGGCTGGCAGACAATGGCCCATGGGCTGGGCACTCCTGAATCAAAGTAAACCCACTCTTACTTATTGCATCGTTCCTACGGCCACTTCCTACAGCAGTACAGCTGGAATGCAGCTATGGAGACCATACAGGCCCAGCCCTGAGAACACAGGCTATTGGACCTCGTACAGAAAAATTTTCCAGTCCCAGCACCATGTACTCAGCATATAATATAAAATTGATGTCTAGGCCGGCATGGCTCCCAGTCCAGTAGGACACCAGGCAGCCTTCCCATCGCTTGCTTCACAACTTAAAGCAGGAGAGTCTTGATTCGGCTCACCTTTTAAGGGGATAGAGTCCATGGTCAGCCGGCTCCAGGCAGAGCCTCACAGCGGAAGTGCATGGGTGCAGAGCCGCTCAGCCCATGGCCACAGGGAAGCGTGACGGGAGGTGCTGGGTGAGAGGGGGGCAGCACAGCCCCACATCACACTCCCTGACCCAGAGAAGCCTGCAGCAGTCTCTTTCCTGAGGCCGAGGAAATCATTAATCATTCCCAGTAAAATTGAAACAATTGCCATTGATTTTTTATACAGCATACTGAAAGGTTAAAAATAATTTCTCCAAGATATAGTATGTGCTCACACTAGTGACATTAAGTTAAAAAGAATCGATGTTGCACACAGATGTTCGTGAGTGAATTATCTTTAGTAATGCAAGAAAATTAACCTAAGACTTTTATTAGGTGGAATAAATTTTCAATTAAAAATGACTGTATACATTAAATTACATGTAATGTAAAATTTCAATAAAGAAGAGTCAGAGTTTATATTATTTGACTTTTACTTTCAAATATATAATGTTCTGTCATATTCAATAATGTCAATCCAAAAAACATTGCATGATTTAATCTTTAATATTTTTCCACTTTTCTAGGCAAAGAAGTCAAGCCAAAACTTCCACGTATGTTACATGCATGCCAAATGCATGAAGGAATACCCAAATAAAGCAAGTCTTAATGAGTGTCATTACCTATCCTTTGATGAGGTGTTGACTATTTTGTTTAAGCAATGTGCTTTTATCCAGAATATCCTTCTGACAATATACTGTGCTGAAATTTTCCTTTATCTCCATGTCTGTAAAATATAAACTGGTACTTACTCTAAACTTGTTATTAAAAAGCTTAGTTTGCATTTCCATTTTTCTAAAATTAATAATATTTAGATTGATCATGGTGGACTTTTACTTCAGTGTTCCTATTTATGTAGCATAATCATAGGAAAAGCAAATCAATGTGACAGATTCAAACACAATGAGAACTATAAAGCACAAAGGTGGATAAATATAGAAAGCAAACATAGTTGAATATCCATCGTTGCTAATGTTGCCTTTTATTTTTAGAGCCACAAGAGAAAAAGGAAGAGAAGCCAGGTATGTGCATTGTAGTCATACATTTATGCATATATTCTGTATTTATAATTGATAGCACATCTCTTGGTGATGTCAAATTAGTGCAAATTAGGCAACAAACTTTATCATTGTCCAAGTTTCAAAATATGTCTTTATGTGGGCCAAAAACCCAGTGACATCTATGAAATCCCTGAGAAATTGATACCACTCAGAAGAAGATTTAACTTGTTAACTGAATTGTATAAAACCACAATTTCTCCAGATTATAGTAAGATACAGATATTCCTTCAGAATAATAGTTGCTACAATTTTATTCTTTTTCTAGGGTCCTTAGATGGACATGTCTGAGAGCTACAGAACTTTTTCAAAAGAACACACAGCAAAGTGATTCTGAAACAGTTAAAATTTTGACCTATGTTT